ATAAAAAGCAACAACATCATTTTCCATTTTATCGAGATCATCTTTGGTGGGACGATTCATGACTGGTTGTCCTCATCCTAGTCTGGCTGTGGCGCCATCGGTTTGAACTGGTGTAAGCACAGGGACATGTGGTCCTTCTTCTACAGACCGCCATACATCTCTACCAAGTCTTCTTAAGTACCTTTCCATTCTCTGGGACCAGTGATGATATTCATTTGCCACCAATATTGGGGCTCGATTCGAACCACCAATACTGTTGGAAACATTCAGAGACAGTGCTTGTTCCATTTTTCCTTGTTTTTTTTTTAAGTTTTTTTTTTAAGAAATGAGCTTCAGTGGTATAGAAGGCCCTTTGAAAATCAGAGTTTTGTTTTCAAAAAGCAACCACTATGGCTCTGATACCAATTGTTGAGAGAATAACTTGAGACACTTGAACAAACGTTAGAACAAGTATAGTTGCGGAATAGTTTATCTCAAAGGATCTAAAAGCTCAACAATAATAATAAGTTAACGAGTTAGAAAGGTAGAAAGTTAGTTGCGGAAATGTAAGGAAATGTAAATGACAACAGGTGATATATCAAGTATACACATAAGTTGATTCATAACATGGAATGCATTCAGACCAAGTTAGTAAGCGAGATCGAACTTAGTGATTAAGTCACGAATGACTTGCTCCGAAGAGAGATAGTATTTAGTTGTATTCAGATGAACTGTTGGAGTAAGAGAGTGAAGACATAAGATAGAGAGTTTTTAGATGCGTAATCAGACTTGTTATTGAATAGGAAAGGTTGAGCTCTATTTATAGAGTCTTAAGGATTACACTGGATCATATCTCTAAGAGTAGCCATGCAAGGCATACTGGACAATAGAGAGTTACAATAAAAAGATAAAGTAAAGTAATCTAGAAAGTAAGAGTGACTGTGGTTGATGATGACTTCGGATGTGGTTGCTAAAGAGGATCTGACTGCGGATGCTTGAGGGATGCGGTGGCTGAAGTTAAAGAGGGTCACTTTTATGATTCAACAAATAGTTATCAGACTTTTGTTGTTTTATATGATAATAACATTGAACTTCGGTTTGTAGTATATAATACCATTGTATTATCATTTTTATACTATAATAGCATGATATTTACCTTTTTTTCCATAGATATGGATTTTGGAGACGTTCCCAGAGGCAACCCAGTTTTATATACGCACGCCGACAGAATTGCCACAGATGAGGTCGTGGAGAAGTAAAACACCATTATGTTGGATTTAATGTCGTCGAATAATCAACGTATATGTGGTATGCTTTTTATATTAAGGATTATATATAATTACAAATTCTAATGTTTTTTCATGTTAAACTAACAATCCGATTTTTGCACCCTAACAACCAACCTATTTCTGTCGCGGCAAACCCGGCGGAGCTGATGTTGCCGTTTTATATTCGCTACATCAATTGGACTCTTAACCATGAAGAGTCTCCCCCACGGCAACATTATCCGGTCCCAGAGAGTCCACCTATCATTGCCTCGCCTCCTCGAAGAAAGAAGTACAACTCGGAAACACCTTCGACTGAATCTGCCACAAATGCTTCTTCCTCGCAACAGCCTGTTGTAGAAAGAACTTATATGTCAAGCGACACATCAACAAGGTCGGTAAAGAAGAAGAAGAAGACGAGCACAAAGGCATTAGTGAAGCGTCTACTAAGCGTTGTGGCTGACTTAACTTCTAAACTAGATCGTGTATTACAGAAAAAAGATGAACCAGATACAGGGTTTGGAGAAGAGGAGGAGATTGTAAATGAAGAGGAGGAAGAACCATTTTACCATGGTACACATTTGGACTATGATGATATATCTACTCATGGTTTGGAAGGGGAAGTTGGGTGTAGACCTACGCATGTTGAGCCATCACCGGACGTGGGTGAACATCACAAAAAAACAGTGACTCCTATTGTTAGGCCGCTACGAAAGAGGGGTGTTGCATGGTATCAGCGGACGCCGTTCACAGTGGTACAAAACTCATATATTAAATTTGGTGTATTTATAAAATACTATGTTATTAATAATTATTTAACATGTTAATTTTTTAGATGCAATCCACACCAAAATTGAAGAAAATCACCAAAACAAGGGAAAAAAAAGCAGTGGAGAGTCCTGAAGAAGCAAACAAAGACATTATGAATGAAGAGAGTAATGATGTTTGAAATCATCTCCTGTTGGATAGTCTTCATGCTGCTAGTATGTTGAGTTTTTGGAAAGAATGGAATATGATATCTTCCAACCTCAACACTAAACACAAGCTGCATATACTCCCACTAGATGTGGAGTTTTGGTCGAGGTTACTTGCAGTTACTGACTCTGGGTGGTTAATTTCTTCGGAAATATTCGTTAAATTTTAACTATTTTTTTAGACGATAATTTATATAAATAGTTGTAAAATTTTTATCTTAAAATGTACAACATATTGCGATATGGAGTGCCTTGCTCATGGAAAGACGGCCGACGAACGCAAGGTGGACGATATACCCTTAAGAACTCAATTTGCAACCTGGAAATTTTTTTTTAGGAATGTAGCAAATGGTGTTGGAGGCTATCTCAAATGGAAGGATGTGGATATGGTTAGTGCTACATTTAAATACCTGGAAAGTATACATTAATAATTATTTATTTATATATATAATATTACTAAACGTTCTATTCCCTATAAACGTTATGGTGCCCATTGGTTTTTGGCGGTGCTACATTTAAATACCTGGAAAGTACACATTTATGAGTCAGCACGATCTACGAATTACTTCTCAAAGTACTTGACTGGTGGAGAATTCACAGGTTTTAAAGATAGTATTATCTCAGAGCTAGATGTGATTAACTACTGGAACGATTTCTCCGATGGACACAAAACCAATGCAACTATTCAGTTTGTTGATACTATAGACGCGCCACAACAGGAATATATTGTAGGTAGAGGGGATTGTGGAGTATTCGTATGCATGTTTATGGAAATGATTGTTTCAGGGTACCAGTGAAGATTGATAAGCCATGTAGAGATACAAATTCCTTTTAAAATTGGACAACCATTTTCATTTTTGGAAGGTGTCGAAAGTTGTGAAAATGAGTTCAGTCAATGAGTTATTCAACAAAAGTTTCTCAAACCTACCGATTTTTTTTCATAATATGCAAAGAACTAATCCTAACACCTGCATGTGTATTAAGAAAGATTCGTACAATCGTTTCCAATTTTGTTTTGTGGCACTGGGATGCGTGCTATGTAATCCTTTATACTAAATATTTTGTTATTTGAAGTTCTTATATAGCTAATATTATTATCTTTACTTGCAGATTCGTACGTTTCTCACGTCTATGATACCAATCATATTCGTCGGTCACATACCTATTGGGACGTACATAACTCGATGCATCGATTCGTCGGTCACATATCAAATCTCTCCCAAACCTCTCCAAGAACATGAAATCTATCCCAAATCTCTCCAAGAATATCAAATCTCCCCCAAACCTCTCCAAGAATATGAAATCTTTCCCAAATCTCTCCAAGAATATGAAATCTCTCCCAAATCTCTCCAAGTATGTGAAATCTCTCCCAAATCTCTCTATGTACTTTCCTTTGTTGAAAACAGCTCAAAATCGAAGGAGAAAACCCAAAAGGACCCTCTTGGTCCGGAACCCTCTTGGTCCGGAACCTTCTGATTCGGAACCTTCTCAGCCGGACAATTTCGCATGCTCTGGACCTTGTGCACTTTGGAACTTCCTTCACTCAGGAAGAGTTTAGATCCGGAATGCTCGCTTCGGACCATCTCGCACGCACTGGGAAGACTCCGCTCCGGAAAGTCTCGCATCTCGGAAGCTGCTGACCCGCTCCGGAACCGAGGATATGCTTCGAAATTCATGGTTTGGCTCCGGAAATTATCATTTGACTCCGGAAATTACCCTTTGACTCCGGATTTTCAACTATTTCAGACTTTTTCTTCATTTTTAGGCATTTTAACGTCGGGAATTCCTCCAAACTCGTAATTTTCATATCTTAAACCCCTTAAACCCCTATTTTATGCCAAAATTGATTATTTTAAACATATTTGTATAAAATAATACCCAAGATTTTTAAAGGGATTCTTAGTAGATAAGGGGGTTTGACTTTGTGATGTGATGCAAATCCCTCATTTCCCATGCAAATCTCAGTAAAACATGTATTATCCAAAGAGAACTAAGCCTTGTACACCAGTCCTCCAAGCAAATGTCAAGTCACCCCTTATCCTTCCTATTTAGATACGTAAATTACTCTCCCATTTCCCCACTTCTCATATTCACATTCAGAAGACTCCTAAGAATACTCTCAACTCCTTCAAGCTCCAAGTTTCACCCCTTCAAATAAAATTCCCAGATTTTTGTAAGTGTTCATCTTCTTTAACTAGTGATTCTCCACCTTATTCCTAAGACTTCATTATATTTACACATAAAATTTTCTTAGGATTTTCTAAAGTTCAAAGAACGTTCCAAGTGTTGGAACTTGGAAACTCCTTACACCTCTTCAAATCACCCAGCAAACTAAACCAAGGTGAGCTTCATACTCCACTTTTTTCTAAGTTTTTATTGTTTTTGGGGGAGAGTACAAGTCAACTCTTGTTCTAAATTCTTGAATAATTGCATGTATACGTATGTTGAGATGTGTGTGTAGAAATATTATTATTTTATTTTAACTTTTCATGAAGGTAAGATTTCACAAATCTCATGAAGTTTAGAAAATATTCTCATCACCACATAAGGAATACTTTGTTTATAAAAGGAGCCTCCCAAATTTTTGAGTATGTCCAGCATACCCCCTTTATCCATGGCTTCTTGTCTAGAAATAAAAGTTGTTGAAATATATCTTGATATGTTGACACTGTTTCTATAACTCTTTTGAAAATCGGAACTTTGTGTCATATTAGTGACTTTTTGCAAACTATTAGTGATTATTTATGAATATTTGAGATAAATAATTTCACCAAGAAAATATACAAATAGAGCCTTATGACAGAAAAATTTGCATGTCATAAAGTTGCTGTCATAACTTCATACAAGTCATAGTTTACACAAACCATAACCTGACACAAACCATAACTTGACACATTCCGACAAATGGAGTGTCACTTAGTAATTTATAAAGGGAAGAGTCATTTTGCCGACTTCTCTAATATTGGGTCGATGGATAAATATGCAAAACAAATTATTTTCAACAAACGAAACGCAACGAAACGAAGCGAAACGAAACGAAATATCTAGTCAACGAGTACAACTACTATTATTTAATTAGTAAATAATGGATTTCACGATTGTTCAAAAATCTATCAGTATTCTAGTCAGACAAATCTTCACAGTACATACATTTATATATAATAGTGTACGCCTAAAGTCCTGTAAGAGTTATAACCAGAGTCTCCTGGAGGGGGAACGGGAATTTGTGTATAGATCTATACGGGGTTGACACCGCGCACCTTCGCTGTTCACTACAGCTAGACCGGCCAGTCTAGGGTGACAAATGTCTTAAACGAAACCGACACCTGAAGAACGTCATAACGGGCACTCAATCACATTATTATGGTTATAACGACGCACTAGAATATATCAGAAATGTATTTATACAGATATCACTTTTGGTTTACAAATAACTGTGTTTTGGTTTGTTCAAATGAAACTTTTCTACACAAGTGTTATGGTTCTACTATTTTATACATAAGAAAATATAGGATTTTCTGGAGGAAACAATTATATACGACTTCGAAAACGACTAACTAAGACACACATGCAACTATACTCGAGTTGAAACAAGACATACAACTATTTTGATAAGAAAATATTGGATTTTCTGGATTTCTAAACTATCATCAAAGTTTTATACAAAAATGCTTATGAACTCACCAACATATTTTTTGTTGACGCTTTTCAAACGACTTGTATTCTCAGGAAACCAATAAGCAGGTTGTGGATCGCGGACTCAAAATTATTTTGCTATATTTTGGATTTGCTTACTGATGTCTCTTTTGTGTAAAATTTGAGAATATGAACATGATGTAAAACAATGTAATCTTGTTATATTGATGTATGATGTTTGGATTTGCTATGTTTCAATTATATGCAATTGTTATGATACTGCGCAATGAAGTCACCCGCCTCCGGACGTTTCCGCCATTCTGGTTCGGGGGTGTGATAAGTTGAAAGTGTTGTTGTCTTACCTCCACGACAATTTACTTGAATTGTAATGTATGGATGACAACGAATATTAGTTTGTATTCAGTTCTATGTTAACCTTAGTTTTGGTCCGTTAGCGTAATTTAGTTTTTAATAAATAATTTTTACCTTTTAATAAATAATTGTAATGTATGGTTGACAACGAATTGACAAACAGCTCTGCGTACTGACATACAGCTCTGCATACTGACAAACAACTCTCTGCGGAGTTGAAGGGTCTATATATTTCCATGGATGATCGTTGAATTTTTGGTAAAGAGTTACAAATTATTTTGAATTTTAATATGAGTTCATCTTCAAATTTCTATATTTGCTTGTGCAACGAACTTGATTGTTACTATTGTGATCCGATCGACCCTTTTCTTGCCCCATCACCAAACATGAGAGAGCAGTATATGTCTGATGATACTTTGCAACAATTACAATGGGCTGAAGAACAACAAAAAAAGATAAAGACTCATCTCGGGCTCTCATTGAACGTCGTGACCTCATTGCGGCAGAGTGCAAAGAGGTTGAAGAAAGGATGCAGATTAATAAAAAAAATCAAAGATCATGAGGAATGGATAAAAAAGACTATCAAAATGACTGAAAAATGGCTTGCTGAGAAGGATGCAAAAATGATAGAGCTTGGGCGGCAAAAGGACCGTTTTGAAGATAAAATAAGAATTAGGGACGACTATATAACAATGGAGAAATATAAGTATCCATTGCAATTCCCTTAAGTTAATTACTGTTGTTGTACGTTTATTATGTGTTTTTGGTTTGTTGTATGTATTATCTCCGAGTTTTAGTTATTACTCTACTAGTAATGATGCCCTAATATAATCATAATATTACCCTTAATCTTTAAAGTAACCACACTATTTAAAAGTACACAAACAACATCTTCCAAAACATAACATACTTAATTATACATACAACATCAATCATTCAAATCAAACGCTGAACAATAGTCTTCTCTTTGCGTCCCTTGCGTGCATCGCGTCTCTTGCGTCCCATGTGTGTCTAGCGTCTTGTGAGTCCCTTGTGTTCCTTGCGTCCCTTTCCCTTTTTTCTTACTACTTGACGTCGCGCTACTTTTACTAGGCTTCTTTTTCTTCATTGGGACCAATGCCGGACAAGTCGTTGCATTATGTGTTGTACTATCACATCTACTACACCTTCTTACTTTAGGTTCCTCACCTTGTGATTGGATACGATGTATGTTTTTCGGTCTACTAGCTCGATGTGTATCCATTATCGGGGGTTTAACAACCATCATGTCAGCAGGAATCTCCAAATCACACGGTTTTGGAAGGGGGTAAACCGCCTCCTCATACGTACTTCAGTACGTTTCCATTTTGTAAGCGTCTATAGACAGATGTCCAAAGTTAGTTTTTTTCAAGTGCTTTAAGACCATTATGACATGACCACAAGGCAAACCAGTTCATTCCCAATATTTGCATGTACAAGTCTCTTGCCTCAAATCAATTATGCCGCCATGTTTGAAATCATGCACTTGGTATATTGCATCTGAAACACCTGAAACGGACCATCCTGTCGTACACTCTTCATTTTTGCTAAATACTTTTTCAGCCCACTCCGTTAGCACTGTTGAAAGTTTCCCTGTAAACAAGATATATATAATTAACTTATTATTCAACATAATTAAAGTCTAAATTAAAGTCATGCCTCCATCGATGCGACGCTTGTTACACTATTCCTGTGAAAGACGACGGAAGAACTCAAGAAGGGGTATTATAGGCATATTCCTTGCATCTACAGATAAAGCATTCAAGGACTC